CAGTGGTTCAGTCCGTTATCATCATAGGAAGGGAGAATGGTGGCATACAGACAGATGTGGTGCTGGAGTAGTAGCTGAGAGTCCTACATCTTGCAGGTGACAGAAAGTCAGCTGAGACACTGGGTGGTATCCCAAGCATTGGGAACCTCAAAGCCCACCCCACAGTGACACACTTCCTTCAACAAAGCCATATCCACACCATACCAACAAAACCACGCCTCCTAATATTGCCACTCCCTATGAGATTATGGGGGCCAGTTACATTCATACTAACACAGGAGGGTATCTGTCAGTCTTGATTCCTTGCTCTGAAACTCCATGGCACATCCCTCAGGACCTTCAAGACTAGCAATCATCTCTGCACCTTCATGTCATATGCAAGGCCTTGGGTTCCACCCCAGGAGATTTTGTGTGTGTGTGTGTGTGTGTGTATGTGTGTGTGTGTGTGTGTGTGTGTGTGTGTGTAAAATCCTCTGCACCACCAATGCAACTACCATGAGACATCAGCATACTAAACTTCCTTGGAATTAGAGCCTCCTTTTGATTATAGTCAATGATGTTGCACTATCTGTCACAACTGCTATCTCTGGGTTGAGTTTCATCTCAAACCCCCGATCACTAATAATTAGTATTCAGACTTCAGAGGTGAAGCCGAGACAGAAGCAAAACAAGAACCTGGTTAGAAAATGGATGCAGGATACTTGGTTTTCTTTTTTCTTTTTTCCAATCCCAAGAAAGAGTTGACTAAGCCCAGCATCCATGTGTCGATCTGACAGCAACACCCACAATGATAACACTCAAAATAGCTACTTCCCAAAGGAGTGGAAATAAGGGTTCATTGGATTCTGAAGATCACTTACTGGTGAGTACTTAAGGACTCACTGACCCCAGCACGGAAGAGCGGGCCCGTGTCACTGTCTCTGAAGCCTGGAATAAGCTCAAAATTAGTTGTACCCCAAGTTTAGGAGGTAATGATAAAAAGTAGCCACCACCCCGAAGCTATGTGCCATGAAGAAGCCTCTCAGTTCTTCTTAGAAATGCAAACAGCATGCCTCAAACCAGACCCTGCTGTGTGGTCACCATGCACTAAACAGAAAGATGCATGCTTAATGAGCTTTTCTCTAAGAATTTGCCTCCCTGAGGAGGGGGGAACACACTTCACCTTCAATACAGCCAAGCATGAGTTCTTGAATAGCAAAACTTAAACCTATAGAAATGCATGATTGGATTAAGAGAGTACAGAAGCTTTCAATGCTCTGGACATAGAGGAGGCTTTGTCTCAGTTTAAAGATTTCCCGGAGGTGCAATTACAGAGCCACTGAGAAGCAGGGGCCTGACCTTTGCCTTTCCTGGTGTCACAGTGGCACCTGCCTTCAGCACCATTTTGGTGTTCTTTTTGGGTATTCAAATGTGCTGTGTTGGGCGTTGTATTATTCACAGACTTTGCAAGAACAAATAAAGCAGGTGTGCATTTTCCTCTTAGAATTCATTAGGAGAAGATGAGAGATTTTAATTATGAGAAGATCGATAGATTTGACCACATTAAAAATTAAACAAGGGCTAGGGGCATAGCTTGGCAGTAGAGCACCTGCCTAGAATCCCCAGTGGGGAACTGGGGTTGTGGCTCAGTGGTAAATCATCTGCCTAGAATTCCTAGTAGGGGGTTGTGGGTGTGGCTCAGTGGTAGAGCACTTGCCTAGAATCCCCCAGTGTGGGACTGGGATATGGCTCAGTGGTAGATCACATGCCTAGAATCCCTCAGTGAGGGGCTGTGGGCGTGGCTCAGACACTGATCACTTGCTCAGCGAAAGCAAGGCCTTGGGTTCCATATATATATATATATATATATATATATATATATACACACACACATATATATATATATATATATATATTCCTCTGCACCACCCCCTAATGTGGGAAATTAGGAGACAAACAGCAAATTGGTAAGAATCTATGTGACGTGTCAACCAAAAAGTAGATATCACTAATACATAGAAGAAGGTGGATTTGGACTTAGTGAGCCTAGAGGTTCAGTTCTGTTAATCAAGAATATAGGAATAGCTAATGACAGCAAGCCCTACACTTAAAATGTGACTCCCCTTCTCCTTTGTCCAACTTTTTAGCTTTAGAAAAACAATAAGAAGTTGAATTCCCAGTAGGACAATAAAATGGTCAAAGGACAAATATTTAACAATGAAATAAAAACGTAACCCAAGTAGGGCAAATTAAGGAGACACTGAGATAAGATGTTTGCTTAATAAATTGTCTATCTGAAAAAAATTAATATTCTCTGTTGGAAAAGTTGCAGGGAAATGGGTATCTTTACACACAGCAGGTAAGAATTGTAAATTAGTTAAAACTTCCCAAAGGCAATTCTACAGACATTACAAAAATGTATTACAAAATTACATATCCTCTGACTCACATCCTTGAATTAAAATTTATTTCTAAAAGTTTACCTCAAGGGATCGATGGGGGATACGTGCAAAGATTTCTATATCCAAACACAAACCGTAATATGTTATATAATAGAAAACATCTTTATAGTGTTATAGAGTTATGGAATGGATTTTTAGACACATGGTTTATTGCTGTCTTTCTTCCATCCCCATTTCTAATGCAGAGGAATGTCTGAGAACATATCAGGAGTGTGTTTCTCAGAATGGCTCTGCTGTCTGCTTTGCCACCACTGGGCCAGCTCACTGGGTTCGGGGCAGCCTTGGGCATTCTTTCCTTCTTTGACTGTTACATCCACCTACCCAGGCATACTGCTTCTGAGAAGGAAGTTCACGCTCCTCAGTCTCCCTTGCCACGTGTCTGAGTTCTTGGCTTAGAAGATGGGTGGGAAGTGTTATTAAACTCAGTAAAAGATCTCTGGTCCCTCAGCCTGCTGGATACAAGGTGGACATGGTTTTTGTAAGAGTTAAAGGTTGTTGAGATGCCTGTGGGTTTGGGGGACTCCAATTCTCTGAGGGAGTGGTATGTACACTTAATGGCTGAGCCATCCCTCCAGTCCCAATATGATTGTTATTAATTTGGGGTCACAGGGATAATGATATGTTTGGGGTCACTCAGCTACAAGTCACCAGACAAGCTCCATTCTGGGCACACAAACAGAGTAAAGTTAGAGCAGATACCAAGCCCAGTGGACTAGTATGACAAGGTCTTTTGTAGAGAAGAGAACAGCCTCTAACCTGTTTCCCCTTTGCCTTACAATTCTTTCTATACATGTAGCCAGAATGCTCTCGGGGGAAAAAAAACAGAAACAAATAAGTCTGGGCACTTCCCTATGATCCTCCATGCAGTGGCTTCCCACAGCATCAGACCTCTAACTTGTCAAGCTCCCTTATGGCATGCATGCCTCTAACTTCAAATCTCACCCTGGTCCACAGATCTCTGTTTCTCTACCAGCTATCCCTCAGCGAACATACAAATAAACACGAACCCCAAAATGCCCCACATACAAGAGGGGGTGTCAGAGCTCAGAACTCTCTCTTGGGCTGAGAGGTGACCTCTCAGAGAGACTGCTGGGAACTTATCAAACCAAAAGTATTTAAATCTAGTTAAGTCAATCTAGTCCGAGGACCAGTGACGCTTGCCTGCTGCCCGGCTTTTAGACTCTGAAGAATGGGGCTATGAACAAGTGTTTTCCTTAGAGAATGTACAGTTTAGAGAATGTTGTGGAATGCCCTTTGTATCTTCTTGTCAATAACAGAAGAATCATAATAGTAGCTAATATTTATTATATGTCTGCAAGAGACTGGAGTTCTTGTAAGGACCCATGAGTATTTATTCATTCATTTATTTATTCATTCACTCATTCATTTATTCATCCAGCTTAAGATTTGTTGGGGTGGGGATTGAAACCTGTCCTGGCACATGCCAGGCAAGCATTTCACCACTGAGTTCCAGCCTCGGGTCCAGTGATTGTTATAACCTACTGGCTATGATTTTCATCTACTCTCTAAAGGAAAAGAAGTTGAGGACCAAGTAATAGATGCTTATATGGTGTGCTGGTTAGTTTTTTGTCAGCTTAATGCAAGCTAGAGTATTTGAGAAAAAGGAATCTCAAATGAAGCAAAGCCTCCATCAGACTGGCCTGGTGGGCATGTCTGAGGGTCATTTTCTTGACTGATGATTGGTGGAGAAAGGTCTATACCACTATCACAGGGTCCTGACATCCTTGGGCAGGTGGTCCTGGATGATCTAAGAAAGCAAGCTGAGCAAGCCATGAGGAGCAAGGAGTGAGAAACATTCCTCCATGGCCTTTGTTTCAGTTCCTGCCTCTGGGTTCTCACCTTGAGTTCCTGTCCTGAATTCTCTCGGTGATAGACTCTAAGCTGTGAGTAAAATAAACCCTTTCTTCCTTAAGTTTTCTTCAGTCCCGGCATTTATCATGGCAATAGATGGCAAACTAGGACATGGAGACTTGTAAATGGAGACCAGAATTGAGCTGTGTTTCCCTGCTTTCCAGGAAGGTGGCTAATGCCAGTGGAAGACAGCAGACCCTCAGAACCAGCATTAGTGCTTCCTCGAACCCTATTCTTTTCTTGTGGAAATAAGGACTTCTTGCAGGGATACCCCATTACCTTTCAAAACCTGTCCTCTCTGTCCCTTGTGGCAGTGTCTTCGTCACTGTGATGTTGTTGAGCCCAGTCTTTCATGCATCTCAGAGTGAACACATGCACAGTTAAACCAGACACTCTGTACAGTTGCACATGTTTGACATTCTTAAGTAAGCTACATTATACCATGAGTGCTCATTCCATCATCCATAATATTCATATAAAAGTAAGCTCATAACCACTAACTGGGCTACATTTTATAAATGTAATTTAAAGAATATCAGTTAGAATACATATGGTTGGCTACTGGCAGCGAGCTTCTAGCTCCCGTTTTCTCCCCATCTTGGCCCTCGCTAACTGACATCCTTGACTCCTAAGCTTGGACCGCAGCACGGAGCCTTCCCATTCCCAGTTCCCCAAGTGCTCTCTTACCATTGCCAGTGGAATGACCCCAATCAAGTCCTTCTGGCTCACATAGATCTTGGACACCCCCAAGTCAGACGTGATGTCTCCTGGGTATTCAACCTGCCACGTGACAAGCTGTGTGGAGGGTGGGTCGCTGGGTCCTTCGATCTCGATGTCAATCTGCATGACTTCGTAGGAGGCATCATCCACGCTATGGAGTAGGAATGAAGGAAAACAGAGGTGAGCGACTGAGTTGTAGAACTCGCCTGTGTCAGTGTGGGTTTTCACCAGCACCTCTGCATGTGTGCTCTAATGCTTGAGCAATTTAAGGACAAGCCACCAACTGCACTCTTGCCAGTCCTTTCCAGGGCTCTGACATTATCATTTAAGGGGATCCCCGTCTTCTGAGCTATTTAGCATCCCCAGGACAGTGGCTATATTCTCCAAACACCCTCTAACCCATTCCCCACCAAGAATGGCTCTTTCCCTGACTTCTAGAAACATCCCCACTGTTTATATTGGTCTTATCTCGAAGCCACAGCCTGTTGAGTCAGATGCACAGAATTTTAAGGGTGCCATGGCCTTGTGTTCTACTGATGGTAATGCAGAATTGCAGGGAAACAGAAGACAGGCAAGATTGTGGGCTCAGGGATGAGCCCACTGCTGACAAACATGGAGACATCATCAGCTATCACCCGGAGACAGGAGTGGCTGTGACAAATGCTAGCTTCTAGACATCTTAGTTCCTGTAAGCACACCTCTCCAGAAATGGATCCAGGCTAGATGACCAGAGCTATTTTAGCAGACCTTTGCTACTTTCCTTAACTGGCTACTTCTGTCTCTTCAAAGTTTCTTTCTAGTACAATGTCTGCTCTTCCATGTGACAGGTGAGAAAGAAAATGGGTTACATGCCAGCCTTTCTTGAGGGGAAGATGAAAGAGATGTAGGGGAGAGCTCAGAGGGGTTGTCTGAGAGGGGCTATTACAGGAACATTAGCGGGCAGATATGTATCCAGTGACTCAAGTTTTACATCTTTAAAAAAGTGCCTTTGAACACTGCCATTTACTGTTATAAATCAGCAGTGTTTTTCATAGAGGACCCAGATTATGGAAACATGTTGATGACACCACCAAACATGCGATTTCTCACTTGGAAGCTCAGAAAGAGCCACCGTGAACACACAAGGTTAAGACGACTGATTGGAGATCATGAGATTGGGTGAACAAAAGCCAAGATAAAAGCCACCAATACAGAAACAAGAGAAAGACCCACAGAGAACAGAAGCAAGAAAGGCAGGAAAAGGTACCCATACCCCACCCCATTTTATACCAAGATGCTCTTACTGGGCTGGGTTCTGTTAAAAGCACATTTCAAAAACAGTGGGTACCAGCTATCACTAGAGCCTGGCATTTGGATGCTGGAAACTCAAACCAGAAACCGAATTCAATGTTTCAGGGAGTGGGTGTAAAGGTAGGGTGGGCAGAGCACAGTAGACTGTAGACAGGGTAGGAGAAGACAGATAGAGGAGTCTGAAATAGGGAGATCCAAAGTGCACAGTGCATCTTCATCACTTCCTGGACAGGAAAAAAGCCAGTGCTGGTAGAAGTGTAAGTAGAACTCAGTGCAGAGTCCCGGCGGATGCCGTAGATGTTCGACAGCACACACACACACACACACACACACACACACACACACACACACACACGGAGGTGACAGCAGCAGGAAGGTGGTTAGGGTGGTTTCCTCAACACCCTCCACCTCCCTAACACCTGCCCTCATCTCTGGAGTCTTACAGGAGCATGTGAAGTGTGAGGGGGGATGTGCTACAGTTAATCTAAGAGACTGGAAAGGGCAAACACAGGGGTCTTTCACAATCCTCAGAGCCTCAGGTACAGAAAGCCCTGCGCTGCTTGGATCAAGCCCAAAGCACCAGAGATGGGATGTAACGTGCAACCTGAGGAAATCAGAGAGGGAATTCTGGCTGGAAGTCATCTCTAACTTCATTTGATGGCCTGACACCAGGAGCCCCACCCTGTCAGCATCGGAGAAGGCACACCTTCCTAGGGATTCAGACTAAGGGTGTATTATCTTCTGGTCTATTTCTTTATAGACAGGATCTTACTGTGTATCTTTGGACAGTCTGGAACTCTCTATGTAGACCAGGATGGCATTAAACTCGGAGATTCACCTGCTTCGACTGTCTGAATACTGGAAGTAAAGATGTGTACCACGATGCATAGCTATTTTATTACTCATTTAATTGTATTATTTAATTTAATTATTTTGTTTATTTTTATTTTTGAACTGCATTTGTGTGTGTGTGTGTGTGTGTGTGTGCGCGTGTGTGTGTGATCACACACATGTGGAAGTCAATGGAAGTTTTGGGGCTGGTTCTCTTCTTCTGTTACATACTCCTTGGGGACAGGACTCAGGCTGTAAGCCTTGGCAGCAAGACCTTTACCCACTGAGCCCTCTCTCCAACCCTTATTATTTTAATTTGAACTGATTTTTAAATTGGGTTCATAGAATGTCCACTACTGTCTTTTGGTTATTCATTGTCTCTTAATTTGTGTCTCACTGGAAAAGCCTGCATTGTCTTCCCTTTCTTCATCTATATCCAATATACAGTATTCTTCCTGGCATTCATTGTGTATCTAGCCACACACTCTCCTCTTGTTCTGCCTTCCCTCTTACCTACTCCTTTTTACTTTACTACTTAAATATTGAGACCATTAGTTCTAAAAGTACTAGAAATCAAATTGTGGGCTTTTTTATTGTTGTTGTAGTTTTGTTTGCAATAGGAACCCCAGTGACACCGTATCTTAACATTCTAGAGGATACGGGTAGTGGTCACAAATGTCTTCTCATGCTGTTATTAATCCTGGGACCACTGTCAACCCATTGTATGCGCTACTGCAGTCAGCTCCACCTCCGACCTAAATCCACAAAAGACAACCCATCATAAGACTCACATAGAAGAAGGCAAAAAGAAGTGTAGTTTTGGTTCAGTGGCAGAGTCCTTGCCTAGAAATTGTAAGGCTCTGGGTTTAATTCCCAGAATTGGGAAAAATAAATTAAAATAAAACAAGGAAAAATACAACTAATAAAAGAACACATGTCCTAGCAACTGAGTAAATCATAAGCAGTGAACAAAAGCCAGAAGTCAGCAAGGCAGGATTACATCTCACAATCTGACATCTCAATACCAGAAAATAAAGATAATAAAATAGTTTAAATTCAGAAAAATATATCAGAGTCTTAATCTAAAAGCTAATCAAGGACCATGAGAAGAACTCCAGTGAACAGTTGAATGAAGTAAGAAGATCCACTCAGGACCCAGACAAGAAAGTGACCAGAGTGGATGAAATGCTTGTTACCTTGGAGTAAGGATCTGAATACACAGAGGAAAAAGTCAGCATGTAAATCGATACATTGGAATAGAACCACAAATCCTTGATATGAAATAATTTACCAATAAAATTAAAAGAAAAGACAATGTAAAGCATTGGACACAGACAAGCCTGGTCAGAGGAGTGGGTTTCAAGACTGGACAAGGCTGAGACAGTTCGTAGAAACATATACAAGAAAGAAAAATCAACACAAATGACAAAGTTGTGCAAGAACTCTTAGAAACATTCAAGAGACCAATGTAAGAATCCCTGAGGTAGAGAAGGGATCTTGAACAAAGTCTAAAGGGCTTGATGGAATTATAGCTGAGAGTTCCCCAGACTTTGAGAAAGAGATGGGTATGTTAACACAGGACATATTTGGAAGCCAATCAGATATGATGAAAAGAACCCCTCCATGACACATCACAGTACAAAGTAAAAAACACAAATAAAACACAAACAGCACTGAAAACCGTCATGGACAAATCACATCTCACATAACAAAGGCAGAAACATTAGAATAACACTGATGTCTTATCAGCAACCCTAAAAGTCAGGAAAGCATGGAATAAATAATAAATTTCAATTACTAAAATAAATCACCCAAATTATCCAAAGTTGCTATGCCTTGTAAAACTGAGGGAGAAACATGAACATTTCAAGACAAGCAGAAGTCAGACAAATTGATGACTATCAAGGAAGCACAACAGACCATCCATAAAGGAATACTATAGACACAGAAAGATGACAGTTTCCCTCTGAGAACACAGGAAATACTAACATCTTAAATCCCAAAGAGCAGGAAGGAAAGAACTGTCAAGAATCCAGCTGTCCTCATTTGCTTTTCCATAGCTAAAGACTGTCTAAAAGCAATGAGGAGAGTAAAGGTTTTATTTGGCTTACAGGTCACAGTTCATCACAGAGGGAAATCAGGGCAGGAATCTGGAGGCAGGAACTGAAGCATTGGTTATGGAGGAGTGCTGCTTACTGACTTGCTCCCTAGGCTTGCTCAGCCTGCTTTCAAACCAGGACCTATGGTACCACCCACAGTGGGCTGAACCCTTCTACAACAAACATAAATTGACTAAATGCCTCCACAGACTTGCCCACGTGCCAATATGATGGAGGCAGTTCCTCAAGCGAGGTTTTTTCTTCCCTGGTGTGTCAGGTTGGCAACTGAAGCTGTGTCACAGACCCTTCAAATATACTCTTCGAGCCACAACAGAGAGAGAGAAAGGGATTTGTTTCGAGACACTTTGAAATCAACTTTGCCTTTAGGGTCCTCTGCCAACTCTCTGAGACCTGTGATGTGTCAGTAAATCAAAGTGGAGGCATGAAAACTAGAGCATTAGCTGTGAACGCATTATCACACGTTGCATTTGGAGAGATCAAACACCACACAGACATTCGACCCTTGAGTGGGAGCAATATTAATAGCCGAGAACTCAAGTTACTAAGTCTTCCAGTCTCCTTTCTGTTGTCCTGATAAAATACTCTGAACAAAAGCAACCTGGGGAGGAAAGGGTTTACTTAACTTACACTTCAAAGTCTATCATTGGGAGAAGTTGGGGCAGGAATTCAAACAGGAATTGAAGCAGAGCCTATGGATGAATGCAGGTTGTTGGCTTGCCCTTGAGATCATGCTCGGCTGGCACTGTTGTATAGCCTAGGACCAACTTGCCAAGGGATAGCGCCTCAACAGAGGGAGTGGCCATTCCGCATCAATAATCAATAGTGTTTCTCACAGACATGACCAAAGCCCATCTGATCAAGACAATCCCTTAGTTTATGTTCCCGGCTCCCAGGTGACTCTAGGCATGAC